CTCCGGGGCGTCCCTGCGGCGGGGCCGTTTTAGTGAGTGGTGGTGGGCACGTCCTTGATTTTGCGTCCGTCTCAAGCGGTAGCCTTGTGGTGGACCGATCAGGGTGCATGGTATTCTCAACCAGCATGGTCATTCGGAAGTGGTCTACTTGCGGTCGTGGATGCTAGGTCCACCTTCGGGAATGAACATCGGTAGGTTTTCCACTGGCTCATTGCGCTTTCGTGCCAAGGTCGCGTTAATGAAAGTGGTGGGACCTGCGCATGTTCTCAATCAATAATTCCTCCTCTTCAAATGGCTACGTGTCTAGTGCTCTGCTTGCGTATGCGGGTTTGCACTGTCACGGATGACTACCTCGTCGGCTCGTCTCGGATTAAGCCTTCGGCCGTCCACCTCGCAAGGACGTGTACCGTCTAATATTCCACTAATTCGGCGTCATCAGCCCCCAGCTCATCTCCTTCCACCCTGCCCGCCGCCCCTGTCATCACGTTTATCAATTGCTTTCCCGCTTCCTAGTCTCTCAGATCCGTCTGCCAAACGCTCACCTCAACGAGCACGGCTCAAACGCATTCCTCCTTCCTTTGGCTCCGTTAGAAAAGTCGATGCCGCTACAGACACATGCGATCTTCATGCAAATGTCCGCTACATCTGCCGCCTATGTGGCCTTAATTGCCTCTCTGGCGACTTACTTCACGCTCACCTTCTTCTCCTCCGACACTCTTCGCTATCTTCGCACAATATACTTCTTAATTGCCGACAGTGCGGAGCTTCCTGGAGTCTTGAAGACGAAGCTGAGGAAAAGCGTTGTCAAAATCACCCTTGCTTCTTACAGAAGGCTGCCTATTTTAAAAACTTTCTTGCTCCTTCCAAGAGTATTCGACAGGGCCTCCCTTTCGTGTGTCTCTTCTGCTGTGCTGAGGACACGGAATACAAAGGCGTTTCAAAGGGCATTTCAAGAAGACCACCTCGACGAACTACAAGGAAGACCATACCGTTGAAACGATGTCAAGCTATGGCACGATTCGCTTCTAAGCTGGAATTAGCTGTACATATCTGCTATACTCATGATCCGTCTCGTCAGCCCGGGAGATGCCCTGAATGCCGCGACTTCATCTGGGAGAGTCGTGAACTCCCCGAAATAGAGTTCTGGGAAGCTTCGCAGTCGTCACTGGAATCACTCCAATTTTCCACAGATTCAATTTTGTGTCGAGAAGGTCTTAATCCGCTCGAACTGCACATTCAAGATGCTCATATGGAAAGCTATGAATACCTTCAGTGGTTAAATTCAAAACGATATCGAGCTGTGCCTAGCGATCTTGCTGAAAAACTCCTTAAATCTCGCACTACTTGGATATATTCTTGTCCTCTCTGCCAGTTACACCCTTTCAGTTGTCACTCCTTAAAAGACTTCACCTCTCTTCAACCCGAGATCGGTCTTCCAAGCAATGCTTCCCTTCAGGCACATATTGCTTGTTTCCATTCTGCTGGAAGTAGCTTCCTTGATTGGCGGTTTCAGGTCTGCGCTGTTTGCGGTGATTGCAGTGTTGCTTCAGGGTACAAGCATCTTCTGAAGCGTGGACACATAGCTCACTTGAAAAAATGCTTTTCCCGCGCCCTCAGACAAGGCCGATTTGCCACTGTAGAGGGCTCTGAAAGTGTGGAGTGGAGGAGCACTTGCGTTCTTTGCTGGAGGCGATTTGAAAGTGGTGGTGGAAAAGTGGATTTAAGATCAGAATGTCGTCTACAAGCACATCTTCTTACCACGCACTGTATATTCAACGCTGTCAAAGATGAAGATTTTAACGTTCTTGGTTGTGGCTGGTGTGGAAATTTACAAAAGATTGAAGAGGGATGTACAAAAAGTGAGTTGCTGATGCAACCATCGGCATTAATTGCTTGAGCCTTATGAGACGCGTTAGTCTTCATTTATGGTAGAATAGACACAGACCAATTGAGGCGAATTTGATTACACCAACGTGTGGAAAGCACTAGCGCCTTCAACACTTCAAGTGATGCTCGTAAATGTTAACAATAAGCCTCAAGTTTCTATGCGGTTGACCTATCGCAATTCCTTCTATCTTGTAAATATAGCGTTGAAAGATAGCATTACCCTTTTTAAAGACTATTTGCGCTGTCTGAGCAAC